CTCTCTTTCTATACATATGCCACTCTTCTATCGGTTCTCGGTATGTACACTAAGACATATGGCTCTTAGACTTAATAAAACAAAAATCGCTGCGATTAATAGTCGTTATACAAAATCGTTAGTCGTTCGATTAGTTTAGTGTTTATAGACGACCTGGATTTAATTGGCGTACTCAGGGACATTAAATGTTCACTTCAACTATTCCTACATCATAACATCACGATTTTTTTATCCCCGAAATGGTAGCCAGAGGTGCACATTACGGCACTTGATGCCACTTTACAATGTTACACCCACTTTTCACTTTTTATATTATGAGTCTATTGCCGTATACCGGGCATAATTCCAGACTCTGTGTCACTACTGAGAATTTTTTTAAAACCCTGTAATACTTTGCCCGACCCGAGAATCGAAACCGAGACCGCTTGCCCGACAGTCACACTTGTGACCACTCGGCCAACGAGGTAGTCCTTAGTAACAACTTTGTTTTGAAAATTAATGAGTGGTTCAAGTACCCTTTGAGTCCCGTCATTATAGACACAATTAAAGAACAATAGGTTGCAGTCACCGGTGTCCTCGCGGTGTTTGACAGTTTAAATGTCCCTGAGTACCTAAGCCTTTTAATTCTGTTCAGGTTTAAAATCTATAAACACATAATCTCATGGACATGGCAACACCATCGTTAAAACAAAGATGGCGCGAGCACCATACCTAAATGTGAACTTAACAGTGATTTTTAAATATTCTTGTTCATCATAAAATTAGTTAAATTACCCACCAATGTTTTTTTATTTCACTTTTCTTAGTTTTCCGTGGGACAATGGTTAGTTTTAAACATTATTTTAAATATTATTCTCTATTTTAAGGCAGACTGTTACACTATTTGTCACTTGCTTCGGAAAAAATATCTTCTCTATACGGTATAGTAAAACGGGGTGAATAGATCACATCAACAACCTAAAGTGGACACTGGTGACCAAAGGCCTTTTCGCATTGAGAAGATTTGAGCATTAATCACCACGCTTGCAATTTTAAACTTACAATTACAAATTATAAGCCCAGGTTTCCTCACGATGTTTTCCTTCACCGTTTGTCAGTGGTGTCTAGATAATCTTAGAAAGTACATATAACTCAGAAAAGGTTACATTGGTACTTGCCGTTACTAGGTTTTACCGCGCCTTATTGTTTGAGAAGAGGGCGTGTTCAACCTCTGGGCCACCACGACTCAGAATAATGTAGATAGATATTATGAAGAATTTTCCAATGCGTTTTCACTCATCTTCTATTCTCTATTCACCCCGTTTCACCCAGTACCAGTATTTAACATTTTAATATTCTTATTATTAACATTGAGTTTAAAGCCGTCAAGATTACAACTCTGGTTGTGTTGGGAAAATAATTCCAAGTGATGGGAAATCTCGTATTATTGATTTAGACGCCTTTAAACACAACGGGGTCTAACTAGTGGGAACTACGATTTTCGATAAGATTCTTAAATAGTTTTTATATCAAGGGTAATGGTTTATTATTGCAGCCAATGTGTCACACAAGTAGTTTGAACCTTTTAGTGAGATTTATATACCTTTGTCAGTTAACACGCTTGAGCCACGTCACGTAAAAATACTGGGAAATAGCCTGAATGGAAAATCAACAACTGTATCGCAGTACAGATAAGAATTCAACCATAATTTACAAAACAACATGATTTTTTACAAAATTTTCATAAAAAAACCAACAATTTGTAAAAAGGCACACATAATTTAAGTTGACAAACAATTTTTAAGTGTAAACCATTCAATGGGAAAAATTCCATGAAATGGGAAAAATATTCCAAACGGGGAATGATTCCTAGGAATGAATATCTATCTTGTACAATATTTTTATACATCTCCGAAGCCGAATTAAATCTTTACATCAGCATTGGCGATTACAGTAAAACCACCACAACACACACAAAAAAAACCATCAATAAATTCCCATTCTTCCTAAGTGAATAGAAATATTCCCATCTTACTCAAGTCAATGGGAATATTCCCACTATACCCAAATCTATGGGAATTTTCCTATCTTACACAAGTGAATAGGAATTTTCACATTCTACCCATCTCAATGGGAATTTTCCCATTCTACTCATCTCAATGGGAATTTTCGCATTACATACTAGAAAACGCTACAAAAACATAATTTTATATGTGTTGTGATAATTTTACAGTTTACATAGCCACAACATCAAATGCTTTCACACATACAAACGCTTTTACATTACCAAATAGCTCATTTTATACAATTTTAGCCGACTACAAACCTTACTAGTATTCAGGGGCGAGATTTACGAACGTTAATGCGGAAGCACTCCTTTATAATAGCAGTTTTATACGACTTTGGTCTTTCGATGCTTTGAAGACTGAATTATTTGTATTAAGATGAAACTGGGTTTTATAATTCGGTGTTAATCTAATGTGTTTCTCTTGCCCGAATACTGAAACGTTACTCAATTTAAATCGCGCTTAAGTATAGTTCTATCTCCACAAATTCTTTGTAAAATGACAGAGACAGCAATATATTTAAGCTCGACTTAAAATTGAGTAACGTTTCAATATTCCAGCATCTATTAATTAACCAATGTGGTCATTATCGAGACATAATCAATCAACCAAGTCAAACTCAAAATCATTTATTTCAATTAGACCAGAACAGGGGGCACTTTTGAACGTCAACAATGAAAATTAAAAGTGAAGCTATTTGCTCAATCCAAAGTATAGATTCCCATGGAGAAGAACGAGCAAGATACTCCACAGGTTAAACATTGATGAGAAGTTATGAATTCTGTTAATATCATCATTTCAACAACAAGACGTCTACGGCTAAATATGAATCCTTTACATATGGTTTAATACGATTTAAAGTAATCGAAACTGGACCGCGATCGACACTGATTGGTTAGTTGTTCATTGGAGCCTCTATCAGAGCGCAGAACGCGATAACCTATGGAGTTTCTTGCTCGTTCTTCTCCATAGGAATCTACACTTTGGAACGAGCAAATAGCTTTACTTTTATTTACTTGATATAAATTCCGATGAACATCGGAAATAAGGTATAGACCTTGGAGATAGTGGAGAGTGGTCAACGGTGACCGCATGGGAATTTAATTTTTTTTGTTGACGTTCAATATTGCCCTTTTGGTATAATTGAAAAATGATTTTGACTTTGGAACAGAGCGAACGTTTGGCGAACGCGGTCTCTATTCAATTACTATCACTATATACCATACTCGTACTTAGGCTTCAGTATGATAATTTACAAACGCCTATAGAAAACACTTAAAGAGCTTATGGCGAAGCCTTTTTGAGTTACGTTCAGCTACTATACTAAAGACCACACTATTCATGAAAAACCCCTATCTGAAAACTATTTATAGTATTTTTAATCAAATCAAGTATGACCAAGACATACGGAAAATTCTTTGCTACTTTTAACCGAGTTCAAACAAAAATTGAGGTTCTGTTTGACCTGTGTGTATGAATGTTTGTGCACAAATATCTCGCGATTGGCTGACCCGATTTTGATGCGGTTTTCAGATAAGTTAAAGTTTCTGTGCGTTGCCGATTGGGTTTTCGGTAACCTTACTATATTATATACCTATCCTTGTCTATAGATAATTATGGAAAGAGATAGACAATTAAGTAATATTAAACCTGAATTTAAATTTTTGTCGAACAATTTAGAATGTAATGATAACAAATTGGTTTTGCTTTTAATAAACTATTTTATTTCAATAGACATAGAACTCAAATTAGCCCGAACCACATTATAAAAACAACACTAATTATAGAAATGATTTGATTATGTTCAAAAATCACTCTTATTTAAACAGATTTAGAACTGTAATTCACTCGAAGCACAGAAAAATAGACTTTATATGCACTAACCTGAGCGTCGAAGCTTCATTCTTCAAGCAGATATAAGTAAAAAGCTATTATACAAGTGCGCATACGAATCTCGCCCCTACAACGATCGCAATACAGTCCAATATCGCCAACACACGTTCGTCACAGTCTTTTCATATCACGCGCAACACTTTTTTGATTTTCTTTTCATTATTACGAACAAAATAAATGGTTAAATTTATTAGGAGACTCGTTATACGATTTTGAACTTTAATTGTTAAGGAATAGTTACTATATTTGCTTGAAACTTAACATTTTTGAATCCGCTACATAATAGTGTTTTCTTCAGTGTCGTGGATGTGTCATACCCAGACTTGGAAAGTGTATTGTCCAGTGATCCAGTGCGGGGATCGAACACATGACACATTAAGTGACTTCTTTTAATCCCAGAAGGGGTAGACAGAGAAGCTTATTAATTACAATGTAACCCCCACTTTTCACTATTAATGTTATTAGTCCCATGTAATAGGGGATGAGCCTATTGCCATATACCGGGCACCGTTTAAGATATTTAATGATTTTAATCCCCATTTTCATCAAATTTTAAGGAGCCCCTAAGTTAAGATCGGTGACACTTAACATCATTTTAGTTTCCATCAACCCATAAATGATATCTAATAGTACAAGGGGTTAGTTTTACCCTGCGCTAAGTAAATTTTAGTCAAGAGATTTAAGGGTGGTCGCTTAACTATCTTTTTAGGTCCGCAACTAACCACCCGACTTATCGCCCAATTCATCGCTCAACCAGTCTCCTAACAAACACAAAGGTACGAAAAATAACCAAAAAATGTAAAACACGATATAAAAAAGGTATTTCTTAGCAAACAACTTGGAAGTATTACACATTGCAGTTTCGATTTAAAGTTATAACAGCACTTTGTCCAGCTATTTTGGTATTTATTAGTAAAATCATAAGATTTCGTTTTGTTTGACACTTTCGTATGCAACTTCGTAAATTCTATATGTAGGTATTTTATTATCAAACATAATTTATTAACATATTTTCTAAAGAAACTGATGAAATATATTTTTTAGCTTATTTCAGCTTGTCCCGTTTGGGTCTTTAGTAATTGTAATTTCCCCCCCTTCCTGACGACAGATCGATCTGATATTTGGTACACACTCTTAATCTTGATGACCATACAATATTATCTAATTATTTCCGCAACTACCTCCATTACGATTATTAAAGGAAAGTATATATTAACTCGTCGAGCACCGTCATTATAGACACAATTATAGAACAATAGGTCGCGGTCACCGGTGACCGCTTGGTGTTTGACAGTTTAAGTAAAAAAATAATAAAATTTGATTGAGATGTCGTTTCAACTAAATTAATTCTGAATTTTATAACGGGTTCTGCAAGTAACAGATCGATATATCTTTAATAAAATAAAATCAAATGGAAATTTGTATAGGATTGTTATCCCTCTGTGACTGGAAACTAGTAGAGCTTTCTTAGAATATTTACGTGAGTAGTCGTTATTTTTAGCCAATGTAATAGATTGATTTGAATATTTATTTCATCATTTTCTTAGTTTGCATAGAGTAACTACTATTTAACTGTAAATAAAACCCCTACATATAATGATTACATCGCGTCGCTTACGTAGTGCTACAGGTCGGTGTGTGCGTGCGATGTCTGCGTGCTGCGCGTGCGCACGTGTGCGCGGCGGCGCCGGCGCTACGTGGGGGGAGGGGGGGCCCCCCCGCGGGGGGACTCCTCGCGCTGCTTGCTGATGTACACCTGCGGACGGGGGAGGGAATTAATATATTGTGATAGCAATCAGTAAAAAGATTTAATCTGCTGCAAATATTTAAAAAAAAAGTAGAGTAAAAAAGAAAAATATTTTTTCATTTTACGTTCTACGTTTTCCATCTCATTTTAAGTTCCCATCAAAGCATTTGATAAGTGTTGAACTGATTTATTAAATATCCGTTGTACAACACTGTGATTCAACAATTGTTGTTTCGGGTCTAGATGTCATGTGTATGTGATTTGTTTATGCGATAAGCCGGTAAACGAGCAGACGCATCACCTGGTGGCGTCACCCATGGACACCTGGATCGCCAGAGGTGTTAAAAGTTCGATTTTGGCCTTTTGGGGATTCAGAATTTAAGTATTGTTGGGGATACAGGCATTGGAAACTGTATATTAAACAGCACAGGAAAAACCTTTGTATATGGCCCGTTTTTTTAACCTCCTTGGATTAGCCGAGAGAGAGTGTCCTACTTCCTACCCCTGCACTTCGAGCCAGAGACTCCAAATCCGTTAGGCCTTCTGTGGCTCCGTATCGGGCATAAGCCCTATGGGACACAATGCTCCAGTGTGGATGACCCTGGACGTTTTTCATTTTCTAAAACAACAGTACCTGTAGCAGCCTGTACTTGCTGACGGAGAGATGTTTGAGATGTGGCTGCATCCGTTCCTCGCCCAGTGCGAAGGTGAAGGCCACCATACAGAACACTGCCGCTTTACGCACCGCGCTGTTCTGGTGGTCCGCCAACTGTAGACGGGAATACTATTAGTGTATTACATAACATAACATCACGCCTTTTATTCCCGAAGGAGTAGGTAGAGGTGTACACTATGGCACTTAATGCCACTGTACAATGTAACACCCACTTCTCACTATTTATGTTATGAGTCCCATGTAATAGGGGGTAAACCTATTGCCATATACTGGGCACAGTTCCAGACTCCGTGCTACTACTACTGAGATTTTATTTAAGAAAATAGTATTAATATTGAATAATTTATTTTGTACAATGTCTAAGTTAGTTTATTAAATACTGTCTCGTTGATGGAGAGAAAACGATATTTTCTATGCAATGCTATGATGAGATACAGGCTTGTGACGTCATCATATCTTTTACGTCAAATAGCAGACTTATTTCTAGAAAATTAGTTAAAAAATATTGTTTATTGAGTCTGTCATCCAATCAATGAGTGTAAGTGTGATTATTTTATTGTATTGAAAGGTCGAAATAAATGATATATTATTATACCTGTCCGACGCCCTCCATGAGTTGCTGCACGGTGTCGTCGGCCAGTTCGTGGGGGCGCGCCTTGGCCACCTCGGCCGCCAGCTTCAGCGCGCACAGCGACGTCGGGTACCCGCGCGTCCGGATCACCGGCTTCAGCAGCGCCAGCACCTGCCATACGGTACTCGTTTGTGGGTGTCTTTAAAGGCCAGCCATATACTGACAGGATAAACTCAACTAATATGGATACTAAAGCCTAGGGCCGTGCGCTACGTTAGGCGTGCTCGCGGCGCGGGACGCGAAACGCCAGCGGGCTGGAAACCGGATTGACATCACGGCCGAGCAGAAAACCGACGTGAAAGAACATTTGCATTGTGTTTCGTCGTGTCAGAGAGATTACCGGAGGCCCAATTACCCTTCTCCCCGGTCTCCTCAATCCCCGAATCCCCCACAATCCTCAAATTCTCAATTCCCAAAAGGCCGGTACTGCACTTGTAATGCCTCTGGTGTTCCGAAATTGGTCCATTGGTTGTCTAGAGCCGACTGACTTACAAAAGATATGGCTTCGTTACAAAGCGTACAATTTAGTACTAACTACTATCGCCTAACTGTTCCTCCTATTGTCTAACAAATTTGTAACTACTGTCTCTGTACTGAATCAATCGTTATTTCTTTACCTACATACTTGATTGACTCGGTGGTTGGATATATATATGTTTCTAACCTGTTGAGCTGGTAAAGCATTCGCAATATGCGGCATCCCAGCCTCCACAGCCCTCATGACTTCTTTGTTGAGGCTCTCGTACGCATGTATCAACTTGAGGAGTATTAGGTCGAAGTAGTCCTGCCACTGAGGCCTGGTCTCTGGTCTCCTACAGAGCCAGATCAAGACCTTTACAGCTTCCGCCGCTGCACGCTCGTTTGCTGTGCCCCAACCTGAAAAATAAGAAACATGGTTTTAAAACTTAGAACACCTTTTTTTATGGGCTCGTACACAAAACTGCGATGCGACGTCGTATCGGAAAAATGTGCGAAACGATTCTTATCGCGTATCAAAATCTTATCTTCCCAAAATCCTGTTTCTTTTCCTGTATCTCTTAAGCAATAACAGAAGTGCACATTTCTTTTTACGATCCATATCACGACCTAGTTTTCAATTTAAAATACGTTTAGTACGGTTGACGGTCGTCGAAGGAATGGTCATCCTGGGAGACGCCTTGTCGCACGAAATCGCATCGCAGCAATTCGCATCGTAATTGCATCGCATTGCAGTTTTGTATACGAGCTATAAGTCGGTTTACAACTAATATCACATATTTCAAATATACAAACGATTGTTTTTATAGCTTTTTGACAATCAAATAAGAAAATGAAAATATGTTTGGGAGTCCCTTAGTGAAGTTTAGGCATTTTTCAAGGTGTACGATTTTCTGTTGTTAGATTTAAAATAGACACATCGAATTAGAAATATGTATGTGGTTCATTTACGTTTTCTTTCGGATGTTATCGCATAGTTTCGAGCGACAATGGAGTCCTTAATTTACATTTTATTTTTATTTTTTTCTTGTATAGAAGCACTATTTTATATGGATTGTCAGTATACCTATGTGAGGACCATGTCAGACTTAAAAATTTTTGTTTTCTCTTGGTTTTGTTTTTTTTTCTATTTTAGTATGTTCTGTTATTTGTATGTTGCGTCAGGTATGTCTTTACAT